ATAACCGTAAACTCAATAACGTGTTCCAAAATCTGTTTTGTCAATCAGCAGCTTTTGAAGTGAGGTGAAACAGTGGGATTTTCTTTTCGCACTCACATTTTTTGAAATAAAATAATAAAAATCGATTATTATATAATTATAAGACAATCGTGTCTCTCTAAATTTAGTAACAAATTAATACCAAAATCATATTAAACAGACAGATTCCACTAATTTAAATCTTTGCCTTTTAAGAATTTAAATATTCAGTTGAATAAAACAATTATTTGAGTGAAAAATCGAAAAATCCTAAGCTAACTTCATGAATTTATGATTAAATCTGAGATAATTTTAAAATACGCTTAAAGCGCGTGAACGTCCAAATCGACTGCAGCCTGAACAAATTTTCTAATCAATAAGATTGGAAATAAGACCGTTTATGTTAAATACATTACTTTAAATACGAAGCGCCAATCATATCGGCACGCAATTATCATTTCTGAAATTAATTCATTTAAATGAATATATATATATAATAGTTCAACATTCAGATCGTAGTAGCGCTTCGTATTTAAATTTTCTAATGTTGAACGAAAAGTATACGTAAGACATCAGTTTGCAGAACAAGATATGTAATAGTAGCCCGATCGTTGACATTAATTTGAAAATTTTGATATATGGTAAGCCGCGTTTATTTCCAAGAATTCTTTGTTACCATCGGTCGACCTTGACTCGCGCGACGCGAGCTGTTTATCTCAGTCGACGGCAGGCAACGACGTAGACGTGGCGTTATCACCCTTCGAAGTGTTCGAAGTGCCGAGATATAATAATTCGAGCATCTTTTACGACCAATTAGTAATTATATCAAGCGACTAATTAATCTCTGCATTAAACCAATATATACGATGAGGCTCGAAAGAATCTATCAGTGAAAAATGTAAAAAAACCCGTCAAAGCCTACATTAGCTATTCGAAACTTAAATCGCTGTTTGTCGCGATTCTTACAAACGTTTGTCATTCCCTCACTTGAATCCAAATGGATCTTGTTTTGTGCCTCGCCTTTTTTTCGGCTAAATCATAGTTCGTCTATTATTTTCAGTTCGAGAACATACGTAACTCATCGAATTACACGTGTGAAGTTAGTAACAGACAGTCGCGATATATTCACGGATTATCGATAATACGCGATATATTCGGATTATCGATAATACACGCATTTCGCAACGTATAAATAAAGTGCGTGTCGGGAGTGCTGTAGTGCCGCGCGATTCTCATGTTCGAATAATTACGGTTACATAATTAATTAAATACGTTTTTCGCGAGTGATGGAATTTGTGCGATGAAGAAACGTGAGAGGAGAAGGAGGCCTTACAGGAGGCATCAAGCGACGCGTAGTAACCACGAAGTGAGTATTTTATTATATATACTGAATTTATTATTGTGCATTTGATATGTGATCGTGAAATTAAAGTTAAATCATGAATAGCATGGAGATTCGGTGTACTTGTCGTTCACCATTTGTGTCAATTTGCGAGCGGAAACTTTTTCCGACGAATTCGAAGACCGCGAATTATCATAAATGAGGTTAGTATATATAGAACTGCATTATATAAATTATGAACGAAACGCGGATAGTGCGGAAAATTCTAGCGAATAATCAATTTCTGCGAATCCGTCACGAATTGAGAATCACGAATAGCGTTTAATCTGGCGCTAGCTTAGTGGTTTTATAATTATTCCATGCGCGCATCAATTATTTTACGAAACATTAATTACATTGGAGCGTCGTTATAATTTCAATGTATTTGTATTTTGCAGATTCAACATAGTTTGCATCGTATCTCCGCCGCTGCGCGTCAGATCGGTGAGTAACAATTACACAATTATTGAAAGAGGGATTTGTAGAAGTTTTATCATACATATATTTACATACATAAGATGTG